AAGTGTCCCTTCATAGTTGCCAGATGACACGCAGGAATTTTCAGGTGTTGAAGGTTCTTGGTCCACTCTGAGACAGAAAGCAAAGGCAGACTCCAGCAGCAGAGGTCAGAAAGATTTTATTTGTAGAGAAGAGAAAGGCTGCATGGGGCCATGCAGCGGGACCCAGAAACCAGTGGTCCCGAGGGTCAGGTTGGAAATTGGGTTTTATAGCCTTTTTTTTTTTAATTGCCTGAGGGCAGACATGACTCTCTGGTGCAAACAGATGTTTCTTGGGAAGGAGAAGTGTCTCCCTAGCTAATTATCACCTTTTGGGACCTCCTGCAGTCTGCCCTTCACTCATACACTGCTGGTGGGAATGTAAGCTAGTATAACCACTATGGAAGACAGTATGGAGGCTTCCTAAAAATCTAGAAATAGACCTGCCATATAATCTAGCAATATCACTCCTAGGGATATACCCGAAGGAATGTGACTCAAGTTACTACAAAGGCACCCGCACACCCATGTTTACTGCAGCAATATATACAATAACTAAAATTAAGCTATGGAAACAGCCAAGATGCCCCACTACTGATGAATGGGTTAAGAAAATGTGGTATTTATACACAGTGGAATTCACTCAGCCACAAAGAAGAATGAAATTTTGTCATTCAAAAATAAATGGATGGAACTGGAGAACATCATCTTAAGCGAACTTAGCCAGGCTCAGAAAGCCAAAAGCCACATGTTCTCCCTCATATGCAAATTATAGACCCAAAACAAATGCAGAAATATTATGGGACACAGGTCACATGATGGGGAGGCTGTGCAAGGGGAGGGATAGGGCAAGGGAAACCAAAAACTTGAATGAGGTTGATGTGCTCACTGTACAGGAATGAAGATAGAAATTGTTGAACTGGCCAGGGCCACGAGAAATGGACTAGGGAGGAGTGAAGGGGACTGGAACAGGTGAATCAATTGGGGCTATAATGCACGGTATGCATGGAAACACCACAAGGACACTCCCTGGGTAGCTATCTTTCTCTCAATCTAACAAAACATCATGTTTCTTGTTTTAGCTATTGTGTTTTTCTTCTACAAAATCATAGAACAGGAGGGCGGAACATGTTCTGCCTGGGGGAAGGGAGTGATTGGCACGGTGGGAGGGGGGAGGTGGTGGGGAAAGGGGTAGGAGGATGAATGCGGTGCAAACAATATATACACATGTATATATGTAAATACAAAAATGATACCTGTTGAAACTGTTCCAGGAATTAGGAAAGGGGGGATGGGGGAGGGAAGTGGAGGGAGGGGAATTCAAGTATGATATATTTGATACATTGTAAGAACCTTTGTAAATGCTGCAAGGTACCCACACCCAACACAACAATAAAAAATGAAAATTAAATTAAAATGCCATGCTAGGTAGCAAGAACTGAAGGAAAAACAAAGGCGAGGTTGCCCACCCAGTGAGGAGTCTTTGCTTGCTAGAGCGTTGTTTGTGTGGACTCTTGGCCCAAGCCCTCACTGCCCCGTGCTCAGTCTGCCAGTCTGCAAGTTGGGGGTCATTCACTCCTGTTTCACAGCCAGAAGCATTATTGGCAAACTCTGGACATTGTTTCACAGAACTGGTTTGGCAGCTAGGCCAGGAGAGTTGTTTCTGTCTTGAATGAGCAGCTAATTAGCATCATACTGTGTTCCTGACTAGGAAAAGCCCTATGGAGTTGCTGGTGAGACTCAGATTTGTCAGTAATTAATATCACAGAGGACAGGGCCAGTCCCTGTCAGCACAGCCAGAGGACTGGGATACTCAGCTGCCTTTGTCACTGAGTAACTTTCCAGAACTCACTTTCATGAAATCATGAAACAGGAGAATGGATCAAATTGGCACCAAGGCAATTCAAGACTGCATTGTGGCACCTGCTATGCCATCTGAAATCTACTATCAGGTTTCCTTTCATCAGTGCCCTCCCTGTGACTGAAGAGAGAAGTCACCCTATTGCTTCTTGTTGGCCGCGGTGTTGGTACAAACGGTAAAACTTCAGTGAAAATGGCCCCTCGTGGACCATACATCTGATTTAGGGAGGCCCTCCTGTCCTTCAGTCACTGAGGGTGCAGGCTGCTCAGGCCTGAAGTTAAAATGATACTCCTCTTCTTAGGTCACCTACCATCTTGAGCTTAACCAAAAAGGGGAATAAGCAGGAAGAAGGGGCTGGGGGAACGTTGTGGGAAGCACCCCAGGCTGTGGCCTGCTCAGAGGTGGCAAGGGTCTCAGCATCCACACAGCCTCTTTCCCTCCCTGCTTCCACCGGTCCAGCTCTGGGGACCCAGCTGCACTGAAGCAAAGGTACAGGGGAAAGGTTTTGTTATGTGCCGGTGTTGAGGGTCCTTGCCTTCACAGGCCAGGGCACTGGCTGGTGAGGCAGCTGAATGATGAGCAAAGCCGGTGTATAAAGTAGGATTTATTAGAGAGAAGGAAAGGCTACAGCTAGAGCACTGCAGCGGAGCCTGGAAGCTGGTAGCTCGCTGCTCAGCTACTGTGAAGGCTGGGGTTTTTATGGACGTTTCTCATTGGCCATGGATTTGCGGGCTTTCTCAGGTGAACTGGTTTGGTTTGCACCTTTATTGGGGGAAGGGAAATAATCTTGAGAGCATTTTGTTCATCAGCCCTGTGGCAGATCTTTCAGACTCTATCTCTCCTTTAGGATGCCGGAATGCAGTTTACAACTCCCTCTCAGGGTGCAGGAATGATATTGCTCTCCATGGGAGATGGGATACTCACTCATCTGCCTTAAGTCTCCAGACCCAACAGTTTGGTCCTAGGGCACTGGTCTGCCTATGGAGCAGACGGAGGTGGGGGTTTTAACACTGGAACCTGCATCTAAAGGGCAAGGCTGCACCCTCAGCTAGGAGGTGATCCTCTTACTGGAGACCTGCAGTCCACTACTGCTTCTTGTGGGATGATTTTAAAGTTGTCCATTCAAAAACTCTGTAGCAGATAGGCTATCAGCTAGTTCCCTGAAAAGCAAACCTAAAAAGCAGGTAAGTAAAACCACATGTATTAATTTTCCTTTAAAGTAATTTAAAAGATCACTTTTTCTTAAGTTCAGTGACTTGAATGGAAACTGGGTGGATCATCAAGGAATAAACAACTTTCTTCCATCTCAGCCACCTGTTCCCTCCTTCCGGTCTGTGGTCTGGCAGATCAGTCTTGCATCTCAAGCAGAGTAGGTCTGTACAGCTCCAGCCCCGACAGACTCTGCCCCAAGTGGCCTTGTCCCCTCTGTTTGTTTGAAGACAGCTATAATCGTATTTGGGGGGGGAAGGAGGAGTAGTGCTGGGATTTGAACCTGGTAGGCAGGCTCTCTACCACTTTAGACACACCCACAATCCTTTTTTTTGCTTTAGGTTATTTTTCAGTTAGGGTCTTTTACTCAGGGCTAGCCTTGGACTGTGATCTTCCCACCTGCATCATCTGAGTAGCTAGGATTATAGGCATGAGCCACTGTACCAGCCCCCAAAATCACAATTTTAATTCAAGATAAATGTGTCTATTTCTCTGCTACAACAGAGCTGTTGGTTGATGCTAGCCCTCATGATTAGTTCATAAAGATATGTTTATTGTATTGTTCAGGGCTCTGTATAGAAGCCAGGTTCTCCCTCTGCTCTGTTTTCAGGGAGAAAGGACTTTTGCCATGCAGAGGAAAGGTGAAGGACCACATGGCTCACTCGTTAGTGAGGAAATACCCCTCCTCCATAATGCTTGATACCATGTCAGAGAACCCAGACTCTTTCACCAAGACCCTCCAGCCTCTTGGTGCTGCTGGGGTTGTTGGTTCTTATCACAGGGAGGGAAATTAACACACAGTCTCGGCACAGGTCTCATTGGGGAGCTAAGGGGAACCCTGATAGTTGAAAACCTTTCTGTCTCTGCAGGGGTGGGGTAAGCACTTCTCCAGTAGGCAGTGTCTCCATGGTGGTCCTGTAACGTCCCCCATGGTGTAGCTGACACCAGGGCCTGGGCTGGTAGACGACATGTGCATGGTATCAGTGCTCACTCTGAGGTGGTCAGCCACAGAGCAAGGAAAACTGAGGTCCAAGAGGGGCTTGAACACTGTAAGCCCATCTGATTCTTCAATGTAGACCTGTATCTGCATTTCAATTCATTATCTTTGTATTCTGGTCTACAAACAGATGTACATTACTGTTTAATTTGAAAACTAGTGAGCTAATTATCGAACTAATGTCACATGTGTAAACTCCCAGGATAGGTGTGTAGTCTGAGTGGCTGAGAGACCATCTCAATGGGTTAGGGACAGGTGGTTCTGGTCTCCCATTCACCAAAAAGCAGCAGATGTCAGCCTGTGGGTGCCTCTAAGCCAGGGCTGTATTGTCTCACTAGCCATGGATGAGACAAGCCAATGGCTCAACCCAGGGAAGTGAGGTACTCTCCGCCCTCACTGTGCTAACCACAGGGGCTGGCTCCATTCACTTCCCTCGCTGACTGCAGATCCCACCTCCACTAGAGAACTGGAATCTAGAAAAACGGCCCTAAGTGTTTTGGTTTGTGTTTGCATCACAGAGATTTTAAAGCCAGAGCTTGTACAAAGTAAGCACACAGATATTTGTAAAAGGGAAGGGAGGAGTAGTGTGTGTTAGCCTAACAGTGTGCTTTAGGATCTGTTTCTATTATAAGGCGAGTCTTCTATTCCGTCTCTTGTTGGTGCTTTGGCCTGTTAGCACTGTTTCCACTTGTCACAGGCTCCATCTGTAGCAAAGAATAGAACCACAAAAATGATACAGAAAGGTCAAAGCATTTTGAGAACAGAGAAGATCAGTCTTCATATGGATCCAGCAGAAGTTGCTCTCCAGCATGCTGGGGGAGAGGGCAAAACCTTGCTGAGCCACAGGATGTTGACCAACTAATCTACAAGGAAGTGGAGTGGGAAGGGGACCTGGCCAGCCAACACCTGGGGTAGGCGTGTGGGGGCAGCACTCTAAATGGACTTCTTTGTTTCCAGGCAACGTCCTGCCCTTGGAGAATGTCTCGCTTCACTGGCAGCTGCTGTCCCTGTGGCATTCCTGGAGCCCACCCTCGACTGCTACAATCCCCTCTCGGTCTTCAACACCAAAACCCCCAGGGAGAGGTCCAGTAAGTATCCTCTCACAGAATCACCAACCTCTTCCAGGTGATGAGAGGACAGTTGCTAGGAAGGCGGCACAGATGAGGACGGCAGCTGGCAGCACTGTTGTTTTACATGGTGTGAGAATGGCCGGCAGGTCAGAGTTAGAGACTAGATCACATCTCTTCTTACTGAGGAAATGAGCATGCACGCAACTTGGTTATCATTAGGCTTTGAGTCCTCTTCTGTCAAACAGTGACACACTGTAGTTGGCTGCTTCTTTTGTTGTTTTGATTTTCAAGGTTCTGGGGTTTGAACTCAGAGGCTCATGCTTGCTGGACAGGCGCTTTACCACTTGAGACACTCTGTCAGCCCTTTTTTTGTGTATTGGGTATTTTTGAGATAGGGTCTCACTTTTTGCCTGGACTGGCCTCAAATCACAATCCTCCTGATCTCTGCCTCTGAGTAGCTAGGATTACAGGTGTGAGCCACTACAGGACCAGCACCTACCCCGGTAGTTGACTTCTAAATTTTTTCCATCCTAAGACCTCAGCATCACTGGTCTGCCCTGTTCTCAATTTCTCTCCTGCACCTGGGGCTGGCTACTTTTTTGCAGTCCCTCTCCAGACTGGCATCAAAAGGGGCACATATACTTTAATGACCTAATTACAGTCTTCAAGGAGAGCCTGTGTGTCCATGGACACTGACCATATATATGTTCTCCATCTTCATGGAAGATAAGTAAGACATAGGAAAGCACCACAGGAATTGAAATTATGCAGGAAAGAGAATTTCTTAACAGGAGCATTGATGAGCTAAGTTCTGTAACAGGGATTGGCAAAACATTTGCCACAAAGCAAATGTGATCCCAAGCCTGTTTTCATAAAGTTTTATTGAGAAATAACCAATGAACTCTAGAAGTAAAATCTAAGGCGAGTTGTAGGCCTCTTCTGGAGGGTGGAAGGAAAGATCCTCGTATCTAGAAGAGAGATCCTGGTTAGAGACAATATGATAGAACAGTAGGAATCTTTAAGCAAGCTAGACTCCAATTAGAACTGAGGCTTTGATGGAATCTGAAGCAACAGTTGCCAAATTGCAGGGCTGATTGAAGTTGGGAAACAGAAAAAAAGCCTCAGTAAACTGTTATGTCAGAATCCTTTTCAGAACCAACATTTCCTGAGAATCTCGTTAACATCAGTATTGGTTGCTGGCTGGGCTTTGTGGCAATCCCTTTTATTTCAGATCTACTTTCTCAAACTGCCAGGAGGTCCTTAGGGAGCCGAGTTCTAAGAGATAAAAGGTTCATGCCACACTTTCCTTATCACTGCTGTCTCTTTTAATCTAAGAATGCTTCGTATTCCTTCACATAAGAAAAGCACATTGCCCCAGAAATGGCCACCAGAGCAGTTTAGAAGAGGCCACTAATAAAACCCTTCACTATGCTGGAATCTGTGGAGGCTAGTGTTCTCACAGGCAGTCAAGAGAGACTAGTGAACACTGCATTTCCAATCTCGTTTTCCTCTGATCACTCATGAGTCACCGCTTACTACTAAGTGGGCGCCAAGCAACAGAGCAGGCTTCGGTAAAGTGGAGAAGTGGCTATGACATCCAAGTGCTGCTCTCCAGCTCCAAAGGGCCCTGAGCCCAGTCATGAGGCTCTCCAGCTGTGGTGTTTATACAGTGCTTCTATGGTTTCCTTTATTTCTTCTTTTGCTTTTTCAAATTCTCTATTTTTATTGTCTTGGAATTTCTTGAGTGTCTCCTGTACATTTGGTTGACCCTATCAGTATTATCTCTAAAAATTCTCATTGAGTACTGTAGTATGTCTCTATTTTAAATTATTCTTGTGGGCTTCATTGGGTCTTTGGCATAGTTTATCTTCATTTGTTGGAGTCTGGATCTGAGTTTTCTGTTCTCTTCATTCCCCTCTGGTTCCGTAACTAATTTTTTGCTGTGGGGAAACTGGTTTCCCTGTTTTTCTGTCTTCCTGTCATTGTCCTTGGTGTTGTTACTGTCCCTGTACTGTGTGCAATTAAGTATTTTCTAGCTTGTAATAAAATAAACGGTAATTATTTAGAATGGAAGAGTGAGCTGAGATGGAAAGCAAGAAGTTTAAAGAAAAAGGGGAAAACAAATATACAGACAAGAGGCTAGAAAGCAGAACAAAGGTATCAGACAAGAGAGTTTCAAAGGTATAAATGGAGTGTTAGTGTACTAATCGACAGTAAGCTGAACAGACATTAGAGACAGAGAGAGGATTGAAAATCAAAGATAAAAAAATAAAAAAATAAGTAAATGAAAGTAATATCTATATATAAAAATGAATTAAAATAAAATGGAAAATAGAAAATTAAAAAAAAAAAAAAAAAAACTTCCAAGTTTATATGCAATGCAGTTTCAGTCTTAATAATTTGGGTGTCCGTCTCAATCTCCAGTCCTGGAGTTGGTGCCTCAGATGTTGTTCTGTAGTTGTCTCATCAAAGGTGATGCATAAAGTAGACAAAACTACACACACCCACACACCCACACACACACACCCACACACACACACACACACACACACACAAACAAAAAAAAAGCCCCACCAAGTGTCCCCAGTTTAAATGCAATACAGTTTCAGTAATTTTCTGGCTTGCAGGTGTAATTCGGTTGTTCTCTCATCAAAGGTAGGGAGAAAAAGAAAAAACAGCATCTGGAGACAGTTCTGAGAGTGGTTACTGCAACACTGTGGCTTGCCTGCCTGCTGCCGCTCAGCGCTGTAGCTGGCGGAGTTATTTATGCAGATCTCTGGGGTAGCTAGCACTCACCTGGTCCCACAGGCTTTGTTTGCTCAGAGTTCTCCTGTGCGGGAGCCTCTGCTAAAGGCTTTTCCCTTTCCCAAGCACTGGAAAAGTGACACTGCCCCGCGTTGTCAGGCCTGCGTGTTTATTTACAGTTCATGTGGGAGGTGGCGTCTTCCCCCCTCTTCTCTGAAGTTTTCCTCCCACTGCCACTTTCAGAAGCTTTCCTTCCTGCTTACTGGGTGGTGCTGCTGCACCTGCCAGCTGCCATGTTTGTTTTACAGTTCACGTGGGAAGTGGTCTTCCCTCCTCTCACAAGCTTCCCCTGCCTCTGGTTGCTGGCGGCGCGCCCCGCTCCCGCCAGAGGCTCTCCGGCCTGCCTGGCTCGTTTATTTACAGTCCCGGGAAGGATTCCCTTCCCCCAATCTTCAGCGCTCAGGGTGCCCCACCCTCTTTCCAGCTGTCTTAACTGTTCTTACTGCTTAGTACTCAGTTTCTCTTTTTTTCCGGGTGGAGGTCAGTCTGTCCAGGGGGCTATGCTGCTCTGGCCCAGGCTTGTCTGTGGGAGAACCGCGGTACCGCGAAGCTCACCTGGTCCGCGTCTTCCCAAGCCGTTTGGGCGCCGGGGGCCCTCCTCGTTTCTCCGTTTAACGTGAAGTGGAGATTCTCTGCACCGGCTGGAGATGTGGAGGGGTCAAAGTTATGCCTTTTCTCGGTGATTATGCCTGCAAAGTGTGTCTCCAGCGTCTCTCCAAGATTTCACTATAGGAGGGTCGCTTTCTGCTTCCTACCTCTAGCCGCCATCTTGGAATCCTCCTCCAGCTGTGGATCTCTGTATGACTACCATATAGACCTGCGCTTGGGAAAGGAGACACCGCTCTTCCCTTCAGCTCATCCACACACAGTAGCAATGCAAGGACATGACACAGAATATACCTTTGCACTGATTTAGTAAGTCATATGCATAAATAAAAATAAATACCAATTGTACACTTCAAAGGAAGGAAAAAGATAAGATTGTGACTAGAGGTGTCACAGTCTTTTATTCACAGTGACACACTGTGTGTCTTGATGCTCAAGTCCCCAGAGCCCATGTTTTTCATTATTGTTTAATCAGCAAAGAGATTGCTAACCATCTGTATGGTTCTTGAGAAGTGTTTCTGCATGAATGTGCTAAGGGATAAGTTGGCCTCCCAGGAGAAAGATGGTGACTTAATGGATGTGAGAGGATAGACTGGGTGGCTTGAGGGTTAAAGGAGGGGAAGGTACATGTAGGATGACAAATGGTGTCATGTTTTAGAGGTATCTGTGACCTGATTTATCACACCTTCCAGCAACTGGACAACTGGATGTCTCTGTGCTATCCCTCTGACTGAGGCAAGATGGAATCTCAAAATAATTTAGATTTGAATTTCCCTGATGGTAAAAGATGTTTTTCTTTATTGGCCATTTGTAATTCTTTTTTTGAGAACTGTCTGTTCAGTTCACTATTTGTTGGTTAGACTATTTGTTCTTTTGGTGTTTAATTGTTTTAGTTCTTTATATGCAGTGACTGTTAACCCCCTATTAGACAAATAGCTAGATCTTCTGCATTCTGCAGACTGTCTCTTCACTCCAGTGACTGTTTCCTTTGCTGTGTAGAGCTTTCAGTTTGAAGCAATCTGATTTGTCAATCCTTGGTCATCTTTGCTGAGCTATTGGAATCTAGTCACAAAGTCATTGCCTGTGCCCATGTAGTCCAGTGTTTTCTTGTGGGAGTTTCAAAGTTTCAGTTCTGTGATGCACTTTGAATTGGTGTTTAGTTTATTTTACATGAGAGTATTCTCTTTCCCAGAACCATTTGTTGAAGAGGCTGTCTTTCTCAATCTGATTCCTTTTTGAAGAATCAGATGGCTGAGCCTGTGTACAGTTATTTCTGGGTCCACTCTTTTATTCCACCTGGTTGACATGTCTGGTTTTTTGCCAGTGCCATTCTGTTTTTGTTATTATGGTTCTGTAGTATAATTTGAAATCAGATATTGTGATACCTCCAGCATTGCTCACAATTGCTATGGCTGTTAGGGATCTTTTGTATTTTTAGTGTTTTTTCCAGTTCTGTGAAGAATGTCATTGGAATTTTGATGGGATTGCATTGACTTTGTAGATAGCTCTTGGTAATATGGCTGTTTTCACAGTATTAATTCTGCCAAATAATGAACATGGGAGGTCTTTCCATCTTCTACTATCTTCAGTATCTTATGGTTTTCATTGTAGAGATCTTTCATCTCTTAAGTTAGGTTTATTCCTAACTTCTCTTTCCTTCTTTCTTCTCTTTTTGAGGTTCTTGTGAATGGGAATGTTTGCCTGATTTCTTTCTCAGCATGTTCATTATTGGTGTATAGGAAGGCTACTGATTTTTATAGCTCTGCTCTTAACCTTTTGATTTCTATAGATGTAAAATCTAGAAAACAGATCTCAAGCCGGCAGTCACCATGATGGCTAAGAGCCTGCAGGCATGACCTAACACACTAGATACACTTTTATTTAAAATCTCCTGCCTTTTCCTCAGAAATTCATGCGAACTTGTCATTTTACTTGTGATATCAAAGCTTGTTTCCTGAAGTCTTCCTGTGAAGCCACTATCCTAATAGGATGCTCCACATTTCTCCTGTGACTTCTTAGACTTCTTGCTCTTATGGGCCTGATGCTCTTGGCCCAGTGGAAGAAGTTGGCCTGGGAGTGAAGCACCCTTTCCACCCCATTGTTTGTGGAGCAGTCAGACCAATGGGTACAAAGCAGTTATTTCTGGTCTGAGTCTTCCTCAGAGCCTTCATGTCCCCTTCCCACCTGTCAGGAACCTCAAGGTGCTATGTATAGTCCTCCTCCTGTCTTGCAGGAAGGAGTGTCCTCTACCTTAAGGGGAGCAGGACCAGTTACCCCAGCTTCTTCTGTTTCCTGCGTTTGCATGTGACCACCTTCCCTGGTGTTATTTTGAGCTTTGTTTCCATTTCATCCTGACTGTCCTTGTCCAGTGATGTCACTTCAGTCAGCGTGGGGAAAAGAAAGGACTAACACCTATTCCTGTTTACTACACATAAAGGAAAAAGCTTAAGTGATTGACAGAAATTCATGCAAGTCACTGAGTCCACTGATGATTTCTGTTGTGAAGTCAGAAATCAATGCCCGTGTGATTTTTTTTCCAACTGGTTGGGAAGAGTTGTAGTGTGTGGTCCAGCTGCAGGAATATTTGATGAGAAGGTTTTCTTTCTCTTGGCTAACCAATGCAGATATGATCCAAGTGCTTGAACTACAATTCAGCAATGGATGCTGAAGAGTTGCATTTCTTCTCCTCCTCCTGCCTTTCTGGCAGAGATGCACAAAGGCCCAAGGCTGGCCAAGGGGTGAAGCCAGAAAACTGGCTCTGTCGCAGAGGAGCCACTGCACCTTCCCTAAGCGGTGTTCATTAGGCCCCTTTAGTTGTTCATTCATGTGTTTTACCCTGCAGTGTGACATCATCGAGGAAATCCACAGCCTCTGGAGCTGCAGTTCTGTATACACAGCCAGCAGGCCAAATCTGCTGCACATCCAAGCTCAGCCTCAAGGCTCTGGGGTGGACATTTACATCTAAAGACCAGAGGAGGGTGGACAGAGGGAGAGACTGCTACCCCATGTGCTTTTGAATCACCAGGCCTTTCTTCTTCCTGTACCCCCTCGGTCAGTTCTAGGGATTCCAGACATGGTGGAAGAGATGTGTCCTGACATCCCACAGCTGGAAGGCCTGATGAAGGAGATCAATGACCTGGCTGAGTCGGGGGCTCGGTACATGGAGATGCCCCATGTCATCGAGGTGATCCTGCCCATGCTCTGCAATTACCTGTCCTACTGGTGGGAGCGGGGGCCTGAGAGCCTGCCCCCCAGCACCGGGCCCTGCTGCACCAGTGTCACCTCTGAGCACCTCAGCCTCATCCTGGGCAACATCCTGAAGATCATCAACAACAACCTGGGCACTGACGAGGCCTCCTGGATGAAGCGCATTGCAGGTACCCGGCCGCAACCAAGGTGGCTAGATTCTCTTCCTCTCTTTTGTTTCTTCCGTGATGCTTTCTGTCTTCACACCTCCCACCTCCCAGTAGCTAACCCTTGAACAGAACCACATGTCCCCCTGGAGAGCTTCCTAGAGGGCCTGCCTCTGCTAGTCAGGCCCTCAGGTCCCTAGGAAGCCTTTCTTCACAGCTCTAGCTATGATGGCTAGCCCTGCTTCATCTGCTTTGGGTGTTCAAGAGTCCCATTTGCTCCTAGAGTAATAATTGTCCCCAATTTTCTTAATAAGTCACCCTGTGTGCTTTCTGCTCGTGTAAGACTTGCTGCCACCTGGACTGGACCAAAGCCCTTAATATCACTCTGCACTTGCATTTCACTTTACTCTTTTGAAGACTATAGTTGGCTCAAAGTACCAGCACTTTGGTTTTTCCGTTTTTTTTCCTTTGTGTCCTTCTATAACTCCTGGCATGCAGTAGTCTCTTAATGTTGCTGTTAGCCAATTTTCTGTTCCTAGCAACCACCAAAAAGGACAAGCTTGGAAAATGAATAAATACACTTTCCTCAGTTAAGAAACCACAAATATGAGTGTCCTCTATGTCATACTAGAGACTGAAGAGACACAAAAGCAAAGTCACTGTGTTTGATGGACCTTAGTTTATATAGTGGAGTCCACAAGACACAGCCTCCCCCAAATGCTCTCCTGGATCATGAAAGCTATGGCTAGGCTAAAAGGAGCTGTTAGCTCAACTCTGGCAATTACCTTCCTGAACAAATGAAGAGATTCCTTCCTCCTTCCTGTCTCAGAAATGAAGTGTGACCAAAATTAGGAATATTGACTAGGGGTATGACTCAAGTGATAGAGAACTCTCCTAACACATATAAGACCCTGAGTTCAAACCCCAGTACCACCAATATATAAATATATAAATTGATGCCTCTGTGGACATGTGAGAACCATGGTGTATATTCCCTTCTTATCCACTATTGCTACCATAAGGCAATGTTTTGATGAGGTCTTATCTGTAAATCTGGATTAACAGAAGGCAGGGGACCGAAGACCCCCGCTCCCTTGCCTCCAAAGAGGTACATGAGGAAAAGTGTCCCTGCACGAGGGACACTGGTAGAAGCATTCCACAGGCAAATCCAGATCTCAGTCAGTCAGACCACTGAATTCCTGGTGACTCAACCAAGAAAGTTTTTCACAGCAACCTAAATGTGCTGTACCAAGTACCACCATTCTGATTCAGATCTGAGCTCAGCCACACCATGATGAGAGCTAAGAGATCACAATGTGGTTAGTGCACAGTTTCCAAAAGCTCCGTTAATCTTCTCTTTCCAAAAGTATCTTTTTTGTAAAAGTGAAAAAGTGAGGGGAAGTGAGATTAAAAAGAAAAATTGCTGTAAGTAGGCTGTGTGTAAATGGAGTGCCCTAAGCTAAAGACTGAATGCACATTCAAATATACATTTGTGTCACTTTTTTCTTATAATTACTCTGATTTTTATTGTCAAATTATCCTATTCCATTAGTCTAATTCTTACTAGCATAATCAATATCTAATGAATAGGAGATAGGATAAGACTTGAAGGTTTCATCTTTCTCTTTAAGAAAGCACTGCCAATTTCTGGCTTCTGGTTTTCCGTGTTTAGTGGCCCCCAGCCTCTTTTTTTGTTTGTTTGTTATTTTCATTAGGACATATTCATTGTATGTGGGGGAATTTATTGTGACAATTCCAAAAATCCAGCATGTTTGTTTTTAGCTGATGACAGCATTATGTGTCTCTTCAGGCAGGAGGTTGGCAGGTCTCAGATGTGGAGGGCTGAGAACTATGGCTGGATTATTGTACATTTAACATACTTTTCTATAAGACACCACATACACGCATATGCACAAACACATACGGATTTTTATTTTTTTGTGTGCTTCTCATCCATCTGTTTATTAGTATTTCACCACACAATGAAGAGATCAACTTCATGTCAGCATACTGTATTTTTGCCACTGATCAATACTAAAGAAACTATACTAATACCTCTTTGGGTCTTAAGTCCTGAGCAGAAACTTAAAAACAGTTATCAGAATTTTATAATAATCATCAACATTGATTTTAAATTTTTTAACCGGTATAGTAATTGTGCAGATTCACAGGTGCAGTGTGACATTTCAGCACAAGCGTACAGTGTATAATGATCAGGTCAGAGTGATTGGCATATCCACCTCCTCAGAGTATGTAGTCTGAACCTGCCCTCGACCCAGGATAGTACTAGTTCTTACAAACCAAAGGCTTCCTTCAAGGACTTAAAATCTAGCTAGTGGACCAAAACCAATTGAGCATCCTACAAGATGATGCAAGGTGTCAGGCTAGGCAGAGCAGGGAGGAATGGCATGGGTTGGGTATGCACGTGCATGAGGAGTTCAGTGTGGCCAGGAGCAGCAGAGCGGCACCTGGCACCCTACCCTCTGCTGTGGACTCATGAGAAAACAGTGCCCAGGGGAGAGTAAGGAAGGGAACCAGAGTCTCACCTGTCAGGTCACTGCTTTCATTGCGATCAGTGGCCTTCACTCTCAGGAAGTGAGGGAAAGGCCCTTTGTTTGCAAATGCAGTGTACGCCCAGCCGATCATCAGCAAAGCCAGGCCTGACCTGCTACGGAGCCATTTCCTCCCCACCCTGGAGAAACTGAAGAAGAAGGCCATCAAGACAGTGCAGGAAGAGGAACAGCTGAAGGCTGACAGCAAGGGGGACACCCAGGAGGCTGAGCTGCTCATCCTGGACGAGTTTGCCATCCTCTGCAGAGACCTCTATGCCTTCTACGCGATGCTGATACGCTACGTGGACAACAACAGGTACGGAGGAAGCTTCTGCAAGCCTGCCTGCTGCTCCCCACGGCTAGTTTGGGCAACAGAATAGGATGGAAAGGTGGTGGTGGTGGGCATATTCCTGGTGAGATAAAAGGAGGTCACGGCTGCCATCACCAGTTCCCCCACCCATTCCCCTCACCAGTTCTCCTTGGTTTCCTTGACCAGGGATTCTGTATGGATTGTGACATGCATCTTGTGGGCCACCACAGTTCAGAGGGAGCTGGTTGAACAAGGGTCACAGTGACTTATTTCTATCCCTTCTGTTCATGCACACCAATGGATATTACTTGGCCATGTGTAAGCCATGTTCCAGGCATTGAGGGAGAGGAAAGAACAAAACAGCCAAGCTGTCTGACCTAGAAGCTTTTGTCCTGGGAATAGGGGAGCATAGAGAGTAAACAAAACATACAAATAAATCGTAAAGGGAAGGTTGGGGATTAGGAGTGCAGGGTAGGGTGGAGTGGCAGGTTTTAACTAGCATGTTACCAAGAAAGCAACATTTGAACAAAGACCCAAAGGAAGTGAGGTGAGACCCATAAGGGTCTGGGACAAGGGTATTTCAGGAGGAAGGACCATGGGGTACAAGTCCTAAGGAAGGCATGTGTTTAGAAGGTTTGAGGGACCACAGGAAGGCCAGTGGAGCTGGCATAGAATGAGGGAAGGGAAAGCAATAGGTGATGCTAGAAAGGCCACACAGGGCCAGTTGAAGGAGGGTCTTGGAGACAGCTAGGAGGATTTGGCTTTCATCAAAGTGAGATAAGCCAGTGGAAGTTTTGAACAAGTTGGTGACATGGTCTGATGTATTCTTTGAGCACCGTAGCAAGGGGCCAGGGTGAACAAGGAAGTGCTTAGGCCAGTTGGGGGGACTAACAGTGATCCAGGCAAGAGTTGATAGTGGTCCATTGACACAGAAAGCAGAATAACTGTGCCTGGGGCTGGAGAGAAAAGGGAGGACTGAGAAGTGGGTGCTTAATAGAGTTGGGGTTACTGTTGGAATGAGGAGGATGTTTGGAACTAGAGAACAATTGCACAGCATAGTGAATGTGCTGAATGTTACCAATGGCAGATTTTTATGTTAGGTGCATTTACTACAACTTTAAAAAACTGGGTTGAGAATGGCTAAAACCAGGGTGGTAGCAGTAAAGGTTGGTAGAAGTTGTCAGATTCTGGGTCTATTTTGAAAGCAGAGCCCTTGGGATTTCTAGATCATGGATGAGAAAAGAAAGAGTCAAAGACGGCTCCAGGAGCTTGGAACTCAGCAAGTTTCCAGCAGGTGAACTAGGGAAGATTGTGTTTTGTTTGTTTTGGCTGTTTGGTTTTTGAAGGGAAAATCAGGAAACCACTTTCAGACATGACAAATTTGGTTGTTTATTCAGTATAAAAATGAAATCAATCAGTGGACAGTTGGATACAGGAGACCTTGGTACCCACCAATACCTGACTCCAAGGAGACCTAGGTATCATACCAGGATGTACTGGGCTGTTCTATGGATGCTTGATTCATTTTTCCCATAATGCTAAAAATGAGCAGCTTTTCAACAATCTCAAATTTTCACTTTATCAATTCAGTGAAGCACATTTCATGCTGTTTTAAACTTGGAAGGATTACCATCACTTTTACCTTGCTTTTGGGGCATGATTTGCTTTTGGGGAGGCATATTTTCACAAAATTAAGGGCAGAGAAACACTCAACAGACCACATAGTGATTTCAACACAACTGACAATAGTGTGGGACTGATTGAGAGTTTCTCCACATCAAATGAGCTACAGAATGGTAACGCTTTTGTTCTTGAAATTATTTATTTATTTACTGACTGTACTTGGTCTAAACGGTGTGTAATAAATCTGTGAACAAGGTGGGTATGTAAGTCCAGAGTTCAGTGGAGATGTCCAGTGCATAAATGACTTTTGGAAGTCATCAACTTTGATACTGTAGTCTTTAAGGACTGTGAGACTAGATAAGACAAAGGACTGAGGAAGAGAAGAGTTCCTAGGACTGAACCTCCAGGCCCCCTACCACTGAGGTCAAGAAAAAGAAGAAGAACCAGCAAATGAGATAGGAGACAAATAAGTAGAACAGTGTGTCCTGCTACCAACTTCACAATGGGTTTCATGAGGAAAGAGCAAGTAACTCTTTCAAATGCAGCTGGTAAATGAGAACTGAGTGGGATGTTGGATCCTGTAAGAGCAGAGAGATGATTTCTACATCATGTCTTTGAGCAGGCAAAGTGTCAGCCTTAAACATCAAGAGGCAGGAGAACAGACTGAGTGTGGCACAGTTGGAGGTACCTATACCTATATGCAGGTAGACAGACAGGGGTACACATACTCACAGTGGGGGTCTGCAGGAGTCCCTTTCTGATTACTTCTGCTTTCTTGGTGAAGTAGGAAGCAACCCATCAGATGGGAGTGGTGATGGGGAGAAGTGTATGGAGGGAAAGTAGGAGACAGTTGTCAAGAAGAGAAGGGCAGAATTACTGCAGAAACATAAAACGATTGTCAGGCAGCATGAAGGGCCCTGTTTGAGATCTGCCACACAAGTTTAAAGTTGTCCTTTCTCAACCAAGTTCAGCTGCCTTATAGGCCAGGGTAGGAAGAGATTTGGATTTAACCAGGCTGAGGGTTTGCAAGTGAGTATGACAAAATTGGGTAGGGTGTTGAGGGTATGTTTAAGAAGTTAGTTATAAAGACTGAACTGAGTTGAGTTTTTTTGTTGTTTTCTTTTCTATTAGCAGGTATTAATTACATACATTAATGAGGTATATGATTAATATGATATTTCATCACATGCATGAATGTTCACTGATCAAATCCAACCTCCCTTTTTTCATTTCCCCTCTTTAGACATCCCAACCTCTAGTATCACTATTCTACATTACTGACCATGGGATTTAGTCTGGACAATGAGTGCAGTGAGAACATAGGAAACTGATTCTATAAAGTATTGAAAGATTGTTGGTCCTAGCCAGCCATATTGGTACATGCCTGCAACCCCATGGTTCAGGAGGCTAATGCAGGGGGATCAAGAACCTGAGCTCTATAGTGAGACTCTGTCTCAAAAAAAAAAAAAAAAGATTGTTTATCCCAATGGGATCAAAGGATTGCTGGAATCAGGATCCAGATGGAAGGTAGTTATCAGAGTGAGATGCATGAATTTATGGGGTTGGAGGAGTTTGCAGTTATTGGTAATGACCATCCAGTTTTGTACTGAAGCAGTTGGAGAGTGATATCCTTAGAGAAGAAAGCAATGAAATGAAAGCTGGGAGGATCATGGACACACACTGAAACACTGGTGACATGTTGGGGAGAGTATCAATGAGACAGGAGCTAAAAGCATGGATAATGAAAAGGAGTGACTGGATTCATGGGCAACTTGGTCCACCCTGAGGGGATGGGATTCAAAACTGGGAGACACTTCCTGGTGCAAGTCTCATTCTAACGCAAGTGCAACATTAAAGAGAAAAAATGGGGAAAACCCAGTTTTAGCTTTCCTAAACTGCTGCTCCCTTCCCCACACCTGGTCCCCAGCCTTCAGTGCTTCAGGATGGTTACCATAGTCCCTGCTCTCAGTCCCTTCCTCAGCCCTTCCCACTAGACCCATGTCCCTCTCCTTTTCTCCGTCAGTCACTTCCCTGAGGCTCTGGTTGCAGGCTGTGTCCGGTGGGGGCTGCCTGTCTCAGGTCATCATTATCCCTCCTCCTCTACAGAACTTCAGGGGTTGAAAGGCGCTAATGTCATAATGAAGCACATTAATCCATATCGTGCCACAATTTCCTGTATAATTCAACCTTTCTTCAAGCCCAATCTGTTCATTTGGTATATAAAATTTAATTAAGCCAGAATCAATAATTAAACAGTTCTTCAAGAAATATGAATGCTGATAGGACCATGAGTCTGTAATCATAAGGGTATAGACATTTTCCATAAAGATCCTTACCCTCTGCATGTTTTGTTTCTATAATGGAAAACATATCATTTTCCTGCACTGGTTCTCCACTTCTCTAACACAAGATGTTACCAGTGTGTGGTCTCAGAAGACCCTGGTGGAGCAGATCCCAGGTCATTGCATCTCTCAAACAAAGAGTCAGGCACAGACACAGACTGCAGAGTCTTACTGAGAGAGAATGGGAGGTACAGGTACAGGTAGAAGGGTGCACTGTAAGGGCACAGTGACCCCTGCCAAGTGTCCAGGGAGACCCACTCTGTTTCAGAGGGCCACATACAACTTGCAAGAGGTGATAGCAAGAAAAATATGGGTATCTTTGCAGGAGGAACTAGGGTGATTGACAGGTATGCTTGACAAGGTCTAGCTACTTAAGATGGGCGATCTGCACATGTGCTTATCTTGATACCTGGGTTCTTTAATTGTGTGCATGAGATGCAACCAATATCCATAAGGTCTTTTAAGTAGGGGCTTTACCTGAGGGGTCAGATAGAAAGTGGATTGCCCTTTACCTGGCATGTGCCATTTCCCAGTCTGAACCGGCCAAGAGACTTGCTTGTCTTTGGGAGAAATATACAACTGCAGAGGAGTTTACAACTGTAATTCTGATTATAAAATGACCATACAGAAAGGATGTCCACGGACGATACCTGGCAGGGACAAGGGGTCCAGCATGGAGGGACCCCTTGGTGAGGAGAGTTGAGTCCATGACGGGTGTTATTTTTTTAAACCATGTTACTAGACTATCTCACAATTGGATATCCAACAATCTGCATTGATTGTGACACACCCAGAGTCAGTGCAGACCCTACAGTTCGGAGGCTCAATCCCTCAAGATAGCCCTCACTTCAGACACCATCCACAGATGAGATACTGACTATCCACACTTGCGTTGAGCCGGGTACAAATTGAGGGGGTTCCATGACTCCCTCCTGAGAGTGACTCCTAGTTTTACTGAAGCTCCAGCCATCAGTCTTGGCTCTGGGTCCAACCTTCCCCCTCATTAAGAGAAAATAACATGAGCTGATTTATGGCTTAAAG